CCACCCCGTAGCACCCTGGCCAGTTCCTGGCATCCTCCTGGACAGGCTCCCGGAGTCCCACAAAGGCCCTCAGACAAAGTTCTGGGCCAGGCTGTGCCTGTGCCCTGGGCCTGCAGCCGGCTGGCTCTAGGCTCTGCGAGGCCCTGGCACTCCCTGCGGGGCTTTGTCTGCAGGCCCTGGACCAGTGCATCCAGGGCCACCTTTGCTGGGGGAGGGGGTGGGACAGGCAGCTCCCAGAGCCTGAGCGGTCTCTCTTCACTCTTGCCCGTTGCTGTGCTCCCCTCCAGTGACCTTTCCCCGACCTGACGCTTGCTCAGGTGGTGCCCTTTCACACTTGCCTTCTTCTCTTGGCTGCAAGTCAAAATCCTCAGCTTCTTCAGGGACCTACTCATGTCCTACCACTCATTTATGCATTCACCCATTCATTCAGCAAATACTTATTGAGCACCTGCTACACTCCAGGCCCTTGCTAGATGCTGGGGTCACAGCAATTACAAGATACACAGTTCCTGCCCTTCCTGGACTTTACATTCCAGGGAGGCACTAAGCAGGAGACTAGTAAACCCCATACCTAAAATTTGATTACATCTTGTGATAAAAAGGAGAAGCAAATCAGTTGTTTCTCCAGGAAGCTCTGCCCACAGGGATATTTGCCCCTGAACTGCGGAGGGAGGGACTTCTGCCTGGGCCTTCTCCCACCCCCTCGCAGGGCCTGGCATCCAGACACAGTGGGTGCTCAGGAAATGTTGGTTTGATGAATGGACGAATCATTACCTCACAGCCAGGGGCAGTCCAGTGAGGATGGCCCTTCCTCCCCACTCTTCCTCCCAGCTAACCCAGGACCCTTAGTAATGTTGGGGAATGTACAGACCCTGAGGCTTCAAGGATCCCTCCGCCCTCACCTCTGCACCCCCCTCTCCATCGCCCACCCCACCTCTATGGCTCCCGGCCTAGCTCCTTACTGCTCGGCTTCCCTACCTCAGGCCCCGTCAGAATCTCACGACCCAGGGGTGGATTCACCCACGACCTCTCATGCATCTCTTCTCTGGCATTGCTACTGCATACAGTGCCTACCGTATGCTGACCCTAGGCTCAGGAGGCACCGGGGACCTAAAGAGGCTGAGAAGGGCCCTTGCCATCATGGAGCACCCAGTCTGACAGCACTGGCACAGCGTGATGTGGGCCGTTATGGGGCAGAAGATGGCACTGCGTGGGCCCGGAGGGGGCGTGCCCAGCCTGCGGCCACCTCCTCCGAGACGCCTCCTCTGACCGCCTTGCTGAAGTAGCCCCACCCTTCCAGCTAGGTGTCTTTTTTGGTTTCAAAGCCCTTTTGAGTACCTGCAGTTTATTTGTTAGTGTGCTCTTTATCTGAGTGCTTTGCTGAGTGCCCACTCTAGGCCAGGAAGTACGCTAGGCCCTGGGGACGCAGAAGTGAGAGACCACATTTCCTGCCTCCCTGAAGCTTCTAGTCTAGTGATGGTGGTGATGGTAAGGAGACAGACAATAACCAGAATAAGCAAGTAAACGTGGGGGATACAAACAAGTATTGTGGGGGGAAAAAAAGCAGGCAAAGGCGAGATGTGGGTGAGGGAGGGGTAGTATTTTAGGCGGGGTGGTCAGGGAAGGTGACACTTGAGGAGAGGGGTGAAGGGGGTGAGGTGAGTTGTGCAGCTGCCTGGGGGAGAGGGGACGGCGAGCGCAAAGGCCCTGAGGCAGGAGCGTGCCTGGTGTGTTGGAGGGAAAACCAGGAGGCCCGTGTGGCTGGAAAGGAGGTCAGGACGGGGTAGGGGCCAGGTCACGGAGGGCCTTGCAGCACGGCAGAGGCTCGATTTAACTCTTGGTGATATGCGAGCCATTGGAGGACGTGGAGCAGAGGATTTCGTGAGATCCCTTTGGCTGCTGAGTTGGGAGTGCGAGAGAGGGGCTGGGTGGGAGCAGCAGGACCGGCTAGGAGGCCACAGTGATAGTCCCGGTGAGAGGCGATGGTAGCTCGGGCCAGGGTGGTGGCAGTGGAAGCGATGAGCAGTGGCCAATTTGGAACATAATTTGAAAGTAAACCCCATCGCATTTGTCGAAGGATGTGGAATGTGAGAGGAAGAGAGGCAAGGATGACTCCCGGGTTTTCGGCCTGAGCCGAGGGGAGGTACATTTACTGTGATGAGCACGAGGAGGCCAGTTTTGGTTAGGACAAGGGGTCCGGGAACTGTGCCCGTGCCCCTGTCCGGCCTCCAGCACTGCCTTCCTTAATCTCGCCTCAGAGGGGGCGGCGGGCGGCGGGGAGAAAAGAGAAGTCGCTTGGAGCAGTGGGGGAGAAGCTGTAGATTATTCTTTTCCCGGAGGGATGCTGCGGAATGTAATGCATTTTGGCTGCTGGGTGGGGGGCACTGACCCTGTTTTGTTTCAAGAGGCCAAAGTAGCTACAAGGAGTAGCTACAAGGACAGTTACTTTCTCTCCTTGTCCGCGCATGCCCAGCACTCTCTGGCACAGAGCCCACCTGTGGTCTGTGACAGTCCTTTGGGCCCTTTGAGTAAGTGAGGTTCTGGGAGGGGATATAGCAATCCACGGCCACACAGCCAGGAAGCGGCAGAGGCCAGACCAGAACCCAGGTCCTGGCCCGCTCGTGCCCACCGCCCCAGGCTCCCAGGACCGCCAAGGACGGGAGCAGATCCAGGCCAGGGACTGGGTTCCGAGCACCAGCAGGCCCAGGTTAAGGGGAGAGATGGCTCTATCTCCCTACCTTCTCCCTCCTTTCTTTCTTCCTTTCTACATATATTTCTACAGCCATACTGTGTGTTAGAGGCTGAGGATACACTGTGAACAAGGCAGACCTTGCCTTCAGGGGGCTCGCAGTCCATCTCGGTGGACAGAGATGAAATAACCCATGTCATGAGTAAGCCACTCAGTACAGCTGCAATAGCCATGGCCTGTCAGTGCCTCTGTGTGCCACGTCTTGGGTGGGTGGGCCCTGTGCATGTCAGCTCCTTTCAGCCCCACCCCAGCCCCACAAGGGAGGGGCCGGTGAGCATTCTCATTGAGTAGATGAGGAAATAAAAAGCTCAGAAAGATGGTTCAGCTGTGACTTGATATCTGGGGTCCTGAGGATGGAAGCAAAGCCCTGCCACCTCCACTTCCCCCCACAGCTCCTACTGGTTGTCTGTTGCCACCCATGCCTGCCTACAGGTAGCAGAGGGCAGAAGGTAGAGGACAGGACAGCAGAGAAACCATGGTCCCTTTGTGCCCTTCAAGGTGCCTGCAATAGAGGGGTCTCTTATATCTGGGCTCTCCGGGAAAGTCCTAGGGATGGAGGGGCAGTGAAAGGGTGTGATCAGAGTACCCTCTCAACGGCCCAGATGTGTCCACAGGGTCAGGCCTCCTGGGACCTTAAGCAAGTGGTTTATGCTTTCGGAGCCTCAAATGGTTGCAGGATTGTTTTGAGGATTAAATTTCACACACGGAAAGCACTCAGTGTGGATTCTGGCACATGGTAGATGCACAGTTATAGCAGAAATGTCACCATGGTTGCTTAAACCTCAGCTCTAACTGTGGCCCAGCTGGAAGAGGGACTGCTCAGATATTGCACCTCCAGTTACTGCCACCCTGCACAGCTTAGACACTCTACATAGGACAGCAAATCCTCTCTTCTCTTACTCTGTTCCTTCAGAACAGGGTCTCTAACTGTCTGTGTGTGTATCAGGGGAAAGAAGGTCAGGGAGAGCTTCATGGAGGAAGGGGCATTTAACCAGGAATTTGAGGATAGCGTTGGAGTTCACTGAGCACAGCAGGGTCAAAGGCCTGACGAGGCAGAAGGTGGAACGCCTGCAAAGGTCTGAAGGCGTGAAGGAGCCGGGCACAGTGAGCAGCCCCTGGGGGCTGGAGTGGAAGGAGAGAGGTGGAAAGTGACTTCCTGTGGCAGGACCTGACTCTGATCTGAGCTCCCTTCTCTGAGGGACTGGGCCTGCTCACCCTCCCCTTCTTCCCCAGCTCCCTTTGGGCAGGGGCCCTGTATTATCTCCCCGAGAGGTGGCATCTTGCCCTGTAGGAGCCTCACAGCCAGGAAGTTCTTGGTGTGTAGCCCAGGCGCAATAATGTCAACCTTTTTCTTCAGAGCTAGGGTCCTGGGGTGGGGGAGGGCTTCAGGGTGGTAACTAGCACAGAGGAGAGTTACTTGGGAGGCAGTTTCCACAGCCCAGAGCTCCCTATATCTCTCTGCCTAGGGCGGCCATGCGCTGGCCTGGCACTGGGACTCTGAACAGTTGACTGGGCCCACTCCTCGCCTCCCCACCTCAGGGTCTCTTCCCTTTGTCCCTGTCTTCTGTACTCCCTTCCCCCTTCCAGCTCTGTCTCCGTTCCTCCTTCTCACTCCATACCCAGGTCTGTCTGTCTCCCTGGTAGGTACATAGGCAGGCAGGCAGGCAGGCAGGCATGGCTAAGTCTCGCTCTGCGACCGGTCGTTCCGCTTGCCTGTCCCCCGCATTCCACGCTCCTTCCCTGCCAGGGTCCGGCCTCCCCGGGTGGGTAGGGGTGTGGAGGGCAGGGAGTCAGACCACAACAGACCGCAGGAGGAAGGCCAGGACGCTGCTTCCTTCACCTAGAGGAGGGCTGAGCAGACCCTGACGACTCAGGGTCTGGGACCCGAGGGTCCGGCCGAAGGGGCCGAGTTAGAGGGCAGCTGGGGCCAGCGGGGCTTTAGGGGGGCGGGACCTCTGGGCCCTCCCTTCCCCCGCTTTCTTAAAGGGCCGGCACAGGCTGCGCAGGACGCGCCGGGCCGCGCCGTCCTGGGCCGGGTCGGCGCGCGCGACCGGCGCGCGGTGCGGAGGCGTGGCGGGCCCGCTGGCTGGGGCGGCCGCCGCGGCCTCCCGCTCCACTGCCGCCGCCCGCCGCCCGCAGTCCCCCCGCCCTTCCCCGCCCTTCCCGCTCCTCCCTCCCTCCTTCTCGCCTTCCGTCCCTCCCTCCTGCCGTCAGTCCCCCCATCTCTGCTCAGCTGCTCCACAGCGCTGCTCCGACACCTGAAGGGACGGAGGCGGGCGCGGGAGCCCCGACAGGCAGCAGCGAAGGAGCGGGGCGGTCGGTCCAACGCATGGCCCCGCCGTGAGGGGCTGGACCCAGTGCCTGGGACCGGCAGCGGTGAGTGGGGCGCGGGGCCACCTTGTCCCCAGGGCCCGGGTGCTCCGGGACCCCGCCCCTCTGCGAGCCGGGCTGGGGGCCCGGAGGGACTGCTGGGGGGACACGCTTGCTGGGGGGTGGGGCGCCGCCCTCCGGCCTCCATGCCAGCCGGGGTCTGCTAACAAAGCTATGTTTCCAGATCAATTCCGAGGCGGCTGGAGCATCTGAAGGATACGGTTGTCATGGAGATGGGGCCGAAAGAGGAAGCTTGGGGATGGCCGGGTCTGGGCCAGGGAGTGGGGCCACTGCTAGGGAGCCTCAGGCCGGCCTGCAGAGAGGGTAGGGGCCGGCTGGCCCAATTGTCTCCTGGGCTCTGCCTCCTGATTCCCCCTTTTGTATAACCTAAGTGTATGTGTATGCGTTGGTGGGGTGTCAGTGAGAGCTGGTGGTCGGGGACCTGGAGTGTTGAGTGCTGGGCCTGCCAGCAGCCACCTTTACTACGGAGAAGCTTTGAGGATTTATTTCTGTTTCCAGTTTCCCAACTTTGACAACCTGGCTTGGCGGCCAGGCCTCGCCAGCTCCGAGCTCTGCCGCTAGATCAGGGGCTTGCATGGGGGCGTGGCAGGCAGTGGGCATGGCTGAGGCTCACATAATGGCTGTGGCAGCCGCAGGGAGGGAGGGGTCCTTGGAGCCCGCGGCTGGGGCTGGGGTGGGGCAGGCAGTCCAGATGTGGGGACCACCTTGTCCAGCTGGCCCCCTCCTCGGAGGAAGTATTCAGACTCTCGTTGTCCCTGGAGGATCTGGGAGCTGCCGGAGTCAGAACCGGGCGGTATTGTCTCTGCACAGGCCGAGAGGGGCACTGCCTCAGGCCACCCCTTCATCCTGGGGCCAACTTGGGGGGCCATGGAAGAACTGGGGGCTGAAGCCCCAGACAAAATGGAAGTGGGTCTGAGATTTTTGGCAGGCTCAAGATGAGCCAGGCGGAGCTTGATAGATGGGTGAGCAGGGAGCAGGGAGAGAGCTCAGGGTTCTGCCGGGGCAGATGGGCAGCCTGGGTTTGGGGAGAGGCATGTGGGCTTTCCTGGTGTCCCCAGGTCTTTCTTCCAGACACTGGAAACAAAAGCTGCTTAATGGGAGGGGTGCTCGGGCAGCTTGAGGGGGAGTGGATAAGGGGTGTTTGGACCTCTTCCAAGGCCAAATCCCGGCCCTGGGCAGAAACAGTCATTTTCCCACCCCTTCCCTTGGGAGGTTAGGAACCCTACCTCCCAGAGGAGCTACATGTTCTGTGACCTGCCATCTCTGAATCAGTAAAATGGACCAGCTGCCCCCTCCCTGCCGCCCTGTGTCTCTGGAGGAGAGACCTCCCCTCCAAAAGCTCCCCTTTCCCCTGAATATAGCGAGAGGCAGCGGCTTCGGAATGGGGCTATTGCAAAGTTTGGTCCTGGTGGAAACATGGCAGGATCCCAGGTTGTGACCTGAACCAGGGGGCTGCCACACATTGGGGTGAGTAGGTGGGTGTTGGCTAATGGTAGAAGAATGACTAGAATATTCTTGGAAGGCCTCCTTGCTGGTACCTCTTGCAGGGGCTGAAGCCTCAATCCGTGGGTGACTTGTACCTTGTAGTCCCAGGAGTGCCTGTGCCAGGCTGAGAGGTTTTCCTCCTGCCACTTGTCCTGCTGTGACAGCAACGGGCCATGCATTCCCCAAGCTGCCCTCCCCCGCAGTGTTTCCTGGAAGGGGTGCGCAAAGCCAGCTGGAAAGAAGGACCTCTTGCTCTTGACGGGTCTGAGAGAGAGGGATTGGCGGATAGTTCCTTGCCCAGCTTTTCCATATACTGAGTCCAACCACGGTGCTAAGTGCTTTCATACGCACCGCATCTTGTGAAGGAGGTGCTGCCTTTATTCCCATTTTGTGGAAGAGGATACTGAGGGTCAGGGAGAGGTTGCTTGTTCAAAGTCACCTAGGCAGTAAGTGGCAGAATCAGGATTTGTACCTAAGCAGAACTGTCTGAAGCTTGGACCTGTGTCCCCATCGTCATTTTCTGCTTTGCAGATGCAAGTATGGAGGGAGGTGGGACTGAGTGCCTTTCTTCCTGGAGTAAGGGGTGGCCTTGGGGGAAACTGAGGCACTAAGCTAGGGTCTTTTAGAGAGGGGGGCTGGAGACATTCTCATTCCGGACGTCAGCTTGCAGGAGAATGACAATACTTCTCTCGACAGACGATGCTCTAGACATCCTTTGCCAGATGGTCTTTTCCAGGGAAATCTGTTTTGAGTGGCATCTTATGTCTGAGGCTCCATATTTAGCCTGGCTTCTCACACGGGAGGATACACTCAGGCTGTCGCCCCTTGAGGGGTGTTTGGGGGAGGGCTCGGCTTGGGTAGACCTGATTCCTTGTCACAGCTCAGGCAGAGGTGCGGCAGGGCCCTCTCAGCCCTGCCCCAGCTGGGGTCTCCCTACTGGTCTCCCTGGAACCCGGCTGTTTTCTGCAGAGCCCTTGACCTAGAGGGTTTGCTCACAGCTAAGTTCACTTCCGTGAGGTCTTGGCCCTCATTCGGTGTCTGCCTGGCCCCCGGTGATGCCAGCACCCAGCCCCGCCTAGGCCAGGTCTACAGCCCCCTTCGTGGGCTGCCCCCTGCCCCACTCCTACCCCATCAAGCCAGGCCCTGAGCTCCCTTCTTTGGAGTGTCTCTCTTCATTCCCTTCCTTCCCCCCTTTTATCTTGTCAAACCTGATAGTGCAATGAACACCCACCTATATACCTTTCACCTAGAGAACTAGATTCGCCAATTGTTGACATTCTGCCCACATTTTTTCTCTCTCTTTGAACCTCTTGAAAGTAAGTTGCAAACACCATAACACTGCACCTTTAAATACTTCAGCATGAATTTCCTGAGACAAGGACATTTTTCTACATGACTATACTAATAACATACCCAAGAAATTAATGATACAATTTAACCTAATATGTAATCCATATTCAAATTTTTTTGGTTGTCCCTGTAATGTCCTTTATAGCTGTTTAAAAAAATTTTTTTTGATCAAGCATCACATACTACATTCAGTTATGTCTTTCAGTCCCCTTTAATCTGGAATAATCCTCCTGCTTTTTTAAAAAGAACTCTTTATGACACTGTCATTCTTTTTAAAAAATATTTTATTTATTTATTTTTAGAGAGAGCGAAATGGAGAAAGAGGGAGAAAAACATCAATGTGCGGTTGCCTCTCGCGCGCCCCCTACTGGGGACCTGGCTGGCAACCCAGGCATGTGCCCTGACTGGGAATCACCTGGTGACACCTTAGTTTTCAGGCCAGCCCACCCTCAATCCACTGAGCCACATCAGCCAGGGTGACACTCATTCTTAAAGAGTCCTGCCCAATCCTCGTGTAGAATGTTCCACATTCCCAATTTGTGTTATTGCTTCCTCAAGAGTAGATTCAGGTTAAACAGTTATTTGCAAGAATATCCCATAGGTGATGTTGTGTCCTTTTCTGTGCATCCCATCAGGAGGCACATGTCATTAGCTTGTCCTGTAATAGATGGAGCAGAGTTAGGTCACTTGGCTAAGGAGTCCTCTGTTCCGGTCCCATTCCTCCCTCCTCACTACCTCCAGGAGCTTCATCCCCCTGGTCGCCATGCACCTGGTCAGCAAAACCAACTGAACCTCTACTTCAGACCATACGCTGGAGCAGGACGATGAAGCAGACATTGATGAGGCCTTCAGGGAGTTCACAGCCTCAGGGGTGGGGATGGGTGAGCCACAACTCGGGAGAGGTGCTGTCAGAGCGGGAATGAGGCCCAGAGAAAGTACTGAGGGGCACAAGGAGGGGAGACAGGAGGCAGGGCCATGATAGGAAGAAAGGGGGTGAGACCTGGACCGTAGCTGCCCACCTGGAGCCATGGAAGGGTTTTCAAGAGGGGAGTGATTGGGCAGAGGTGGGTGCTGAGGAAGGCACTCTGAGGAGGATGGCGTGGGGCTGGCCAGGCCAGCGTGGTGGCAAAGGGCCTGGTCAGTGACAAGACGGTGGGTTTGGGGCTGCTGTGCGTGGCATACAGAGGGAGTGGGGTCAGCGCTGCGGTGGCCCAGCTGCGACTGGAGAGCAGCAGGTGGGTGTGGAATAAGGAGCGATTTAGGAGGCAGACGGAACGGGCGCTGGGGTCCGACTGGAGGTGGGGAGGGCTGTTGTGCCATGGCTTGGAAGGCGATGGAGAATGTGGTTTTGGGTGTGCGAGGCCTGAGGTTCTTTCCAGGTCGGAGGAACAGTGTGTGGGAAGCTCACTTCCCCAGGTCTTGGTGGTTGCCTGTGGCTGCCCGCTTAAAGCTCACTTTGGGGTGAGGGCGGAGGGAAGGCCCCGCCTAACCTGCAGCAGGGAACGGAGGGTGGGCTCCCAGGCACCAGCAGGCGAGGGACTTTGAGGGGGGGTCAGGGGCTGGCTCAGAGGCAGCTCCCACTATCCCTCAGGATAACCCCCCCCTCAGGCCCCCCAACTCCCTTACCTCAGTTTGTTTCTTCATACTTGCTCGGTAAAAACCCACACCCTGGTCAATTCTATTGCCTGGTCTGCTCCAATCCGACCTGTGAGAAAAACCTCTACCCTGACTGGTCTCACTTTATGGTTAAAACCCTGAACTCCAGGTGGGTTTTCAGTACTTCCCGCAGTCTCACCCCGGGTCCCGAGTCCTCCCCCCTCCCTCTACCTGATGACTACTTCACACTTTCTCTCCTACCCTCAGCCCAAGCCCCTCTTCCCCAGTCGCCCCTCACAGCTGCTGACATTGCTTCCTACTCTTTGAGAAAATAGAAGCAATCAGAACTTTCTCAGACTCCGAGGCTACAGTCATCCATCTGCCAGTGTCTCCCCACTGCTCTGCCTTCCTCCAGTCACTGGGGTTGAGGAGTTCCTGCTCCTGGTTAAGGCCACCCCTCTACTTGTGCACTGGACCCTGTCCCCTTGTGCCTACTTGCAGACATTGCTCCAGCACGGCCCTCGCCTACACTGTGGGGTCCCCCTCTACCAGAT